GGTGGCAGAGACAGGATCTGGGCTCCTCTGGGGATCAGATCAGCCGCAGGCCTTCAGCTTGAAGAAGATGCATGTCCCCTCCCCCACCCCCAGAGTTGGGGAAATGCAAACAAGGGCCCCACCTCCACACAAGCTTAGGCCTTCATCCCACCGGAGACTGAAAAATGAGACATTTAGCAGAGATGGGGGGAAAGCACTGTTGCAGACAAAACTTGGTGCTCCCCCACGCCCATTTTCCTTTGAAGGCCTTTGCATTCCCTGTGATGATGGTGATCATGGTGAAGAAGATGGTGGTGGGGATGACGGTGACAGTGGTGGTGATGGTGATGGTGATGATGTAGGTGATGGTGGTGATGATGTAGGTGATGGCAGTGATGGTGTTAATGGTGTTGATGGTGGTCATGGTGGTGGTGTTGATGGTGGTGGTGATGGTGGTGATGGTGATGTAGGTGACGGCGGTGGTGATGTAGGTGATGGCAGTGATGTTAATGGTATTGATGGTGGTTATGGTGGTGGTGGTGATGGTGGTGGTGATGGTGACGGTGGTGATGATGTAGGTGATGGCAGTGATGTTGTTAATGGTATTGATGGTGGTCATGGTGGTGATGATGTAGGTGATGGCAGTGATGGGGTTAATGGTGTTGACAGTGGTGATGGTGGTGGTGGTGATGGTGGTGGTGATGGTGATGGTGATGATGTAGGTGATGGCAGTGATGGTGTTAATGGTGTTGATGGTGGTCATGGTGGTGGTGTTGATCGTGGTGGTGGTGGTGATGGTGATGGTGATGATGTAGGTGATGGTGGTGGTGATGATGTAGGTGATGGCAGTGATGATGTTAATGGTATTGATGGTCGTCATGGTGGTGGTGGTGATGGTGGTGGTGGTGGTGATGATGATGATGTAGGTGACGGTGGTGATGATGTAGGTGATGGCAGTGATGGTGTTAATGGTGTTGATGGTGGTGATGGTGGTGGTGGTGGCGGTGGTGATGGTGGTGATGATGATGATGGTGGTGGTGGTGATACTAATAACAGTGAACATTTATTGAGCACTTACTATGTTCTAAGGAAGTCTGTTAACCCACTTTATCCTCAGCATAGCTCTGGGAGGTAGATGCAATTATTATCCCCACTGTACAGAGGAGGAACCTGAGGCTCCAAAGGTCACTGCTTCCCAAGGCCACACTGGTATGTAGTGTCCGGATTTGAATCCACACTCTAATTAGCCAGGTTATCCCACCTGAGGAATTACACAACAGAATCATTTTGCTTCTGGATTAAAAAAACAAAACAACCCACCCAGAAAAAATATATAAATAATTAAAATTTTTTTTTAACCTTTTAACTTTTGGAGAATGAAGGTCTCGCCTCCTTCTTTCAGGGACAGAAAGGAAATTTAGACATCTACAGACAGCAGCCCCTTCCTCTCCCTCCATTCCCGGCCTCTTTTATACTTTGCACCTGCCATGTCATCTGGAGGGCAGGGGCGTGGGTCTGGCTACTTCCGCCGGTGCCTGGCACACAGCAGGTACTCAAACATTTGCTAACGAGGGACCTGGCCTCCTGGCAAGCCAAATGCCCCCAGAGTCAGGAACACAAAGCAAGGCTCGCGGGCCCAGAGATGGCCTGTGGCCAAGCTGCTCACCGGGGGCAACCTATGATGCCCACCCTCGCCACCTGCCAGAGAGCCGCAGACAGCCGTCCCGCCCACCCCGCTTCCCACCACAGTGACTCAGGCCTTCTTCCCTCTCGGAGGGCCTCCAGATGCACCTCACGGAACGGAGACAGCGTTGAGGAGGGAGCAGCCTCAAACCGTGACGGGACACGTGCCCACGATGCCAGCAGGCTGACACAGGCAGAAAGACAAGCAGCTGCTGGCCGCCTGCTGGGGAGGCCAAGGCTCATGTTCCATTAAGCAAGGACCAAGTGGCTCACCCCGTCTGGGTATCATCATGTCCCTCTGTCCTCCCTACGACCCGTGCTTGTCCCCGCCTTAGGACCATGGCCTTTGCCGTTCCCCTGCCACTCACTCTGTTCCAGCCCACGCCCCACTGCCAGAGCCTTCTTGTCATTCAAACACCCCCAGCTCAACAAGGCCATGGTCATCCATGACCACTCGATCGCTTCATGAGGCCAGCTCATCTGTTTCCTTGCTTCCTGGTTTCCTGCCCTTCTTCTTCAGCCCCTGATATGGGTTGGGGTATATCCCCTAAACAGATATGCTCGAGTCCCACCCCTGGTACCTGTGAACGTGACTGTATTTGGAAAGAGGGTCTCTGTAGATTAACTTCATTAGTTAAGTAAGATGAGGTCATATTGGAGCAGGGAGGGCCCCTAGGTGTCCTTCTAAGAGGAGAGAGGTGCACAGAAGGTCCCGTGAAGATGCAGGGCCACGTGACAACAGAGCAGAGAGTGGACAGACAGAGGCAGCTAGAAGCCAGAGCACCGACAATGGACACACACCCCCAGAAGCTGGAAGAGGCAGGAGGGACCCCCACCCCCACCCTTCAAAAGTTTCCGAGGCAGCGCTGCCCTGCCAACACCTTAACGTCCGACTTCCAGCCTACAGAACCATGCGAGAGCACATTTCTATTGTTTTAAGCCACGCACCTCATGGGACGTTGTTAGTGCAGCCCAGAAAACCAGTCCTCTCCTCAGCCACCATTTCAGATGAGGCCCCTGGCCCCATAGTCCAGTCCCAAAGCCAGCGCCCGGCCTGCGGGTACTCAGGGGGGTGGGATAAACACATGGCTGGGCTTACACGTCTCTAAGTGCAGTGGCCTCTGACCCCCACAAAGGAGGTCCTGTGCCTGTCACACCAGGCTTGTCTGTCTCAGGGACCAGTGGGTGGCGACACCCCTCACGAGAAATGGCAGCATCCCAGCCAACCCCCGGGGACACAGCAGTGGCCAGGAGGGCAAAGGCATTCCTGCCTGGGAACTCTGGAAACTCGGAGAAAGAACCGCACAGGTGACACCAGCCTACCCTTGCATTCTCTTCAGCCAAATCCACTTGGGGCAGCCACATTCCTGAGGTGAAGCCTCTTGCCAGAGACTCCTGAGGCAGGTGTGGGGAGCCTGCCAGGAGGGGTGGGGAGGGAGCAGGGCTCGGCGTTTGCACAAATGGGCCGGTGGAGTGCTATTGACGAACTGCCTCTGGGTACCTGCCTCGCCTCCTACTAATCAGCCTTCAGGAGAAAAGTCAAACATATGTTTTTGTTCAGGAATCCTGGGGGATCTGTCAGAACCCAGAGCAAATGCGTGTCACACCCCCAAAATTAACTCAATGCTTCTTCCTATAACTGGGTCTGGGGGATGGGGCACAGATGCCAGGGTTCAGTGGGTCATCGTAGGATTCGGAGGTGATTGCCAAGACCGCGTGCCACCTCCCCCACGGCACACCCTCCTTCCCGGTACCCTCCCCTCCAGGACGGTGTGCTGGCCTCTCCATAGGATAGGGTGAGTAGGGCTGTGCGTGCAAGTGGGGGCTCTAAAATGCAAATTTAGTCAGCACTAAGATACCATTTGTCGCCCATCACACGGACAAAGACCAAAACCGTCTGATCAGAGATGATGTTGTGAGCACATGAGAAATCGGCCTGCTCTTAGGTTGTTGGTACCAACTGACATAACCTCCAGGGACAGCTGTCCAGCAAAACCGGTCAGTTACTGACATGTGCACCCTCTGACCCCAGGATTCTACTTCCGGGGCTGTATCTGATAGACATGCACCGGTGTGAAATGATGCTGTCAACAAAAATAATGTGCCTCTTGCCTGTAACCCAGAACCCACCAGGGTGGAGAACTTCAAGGAGCGGGAAGCAGAAGCTGCCTGGGGGACGGGCACCGGGGCTCAGAGCCGGGAGGGAGCCTTCCTGTTCACTGTAGCTGCTTTTCTCTTGTGAATGTGACAATGTGAGCATGTCTTACCTCCGCAAAAATCTCTTTCCAAAAGAAATACTTTTTGTACGCCCGGGGTTCAAGTCCCACTTTGGCCACTTTCTCCCTGGGTGGTGGCACGCAGATGACACGCCCTTTGGCTTTCAGCTCGTAACTCTCGCCGTGTCCCAGAGGAGTGGCCACCTCACACGGCTGCCGCGAATACGAAACCAGGTAACAAATGCAAAACAGTGGAAACCCTCAGAAAGAGAGGCTTGGTTTTCTTAGTCTTTAAGAAGACGACCCCTGACATGGTGGTGCTCCCGAAGGAGGTGGTGACGTCTCCTCTTTCCCCAGGGCGGTAACGGGTCCCCGTTCCTGCTGCAAATGCTGGGACTGTCCATCAGGAGGCGCCCACAGCACCTTCCTGCCATTCGTTACTGAGGAATGGCATCCAGCCATGACAAGAGTCAGCCTGAGCCGGCCCTCGAGCCAGCCCCTGGGCAGCACCACTGGGGTTGGTCACCGTCACCTCTGGAAGGCACCATGTGCTCGCTCGAAGCTCTGGCCCATCTCTGAGTCTCCTGACCTCTCAGGAGACCTCGAAACTAAAGGGTCTCCAGACAGTCAAGTCTTTCGACACAAGATCTGGGTTCCCTTCCTCATGATTCTTTGAAGGCTGTGTTCTCTCTCTGCCTGTTTATTTCTGGGTTGGGGTTTTTATCCCGTTTTATGACAAATGGCCACCTTCACCGGTTGCCTGATGTCATGTGCTGGGTTTCACGGTGAGCAGTGGGAGATAGGTAGACCCTCAAAAGATGCTCCTTCCTCTTCCCTATCCCCCATCCCTTCCGTGGCCCTGACCCAGACCGCCCATAAGTGCCCACGCGGGCTCACCTGGCCATCCCCTCTTCCTAACTCGATATGCTGGCGGGGAGAGTTTAAAGAAAGAGCAGCCCGCACCACAGACTTTCTTGACAGAAGAGGTGCAGTGTAGGGCCTGGCAGGTGGTCGGCGGCCCCCGACGGAAGCGGCCCGGCCCCGGCCCGAGCCACCGCCCCCTTCCTCCTCTGCAGCGGAAGGCAGCTCCGCGCCCGGCCCGGCGCCGGCCCCAGCACCCACCTGCCCAAGTGCTCCTGCAGCACCTGGTAAACGCTGATCCGGAACGTCTCGTTGTCGAAGCGCTCCCGAATGTAGTCCTTGTAGATCCGGAATTCGGCTGCGGTCACAGCTTCTCCTTCCGGGATCTTGGAAAGATCAAACCGGAACTCGCGATGGTGGTAGCGCGGGTAGAAGAACTCTTTGTCATGCTCCACTGGAGAGGGAAGAAAGCACACACCCGCACCAACCGCTCATTAGTTACTGGCTTTCGCTCTCCTGGCGCAGAGCCCAAGCATGCCCTCGGCCGGAGACCCCTGGGGCTGACTGCCCCCTCCTCGCGGCCCCACGGCAGCCTGCAGACGCACAGCCTTGGACCCCGTGGTCACCTTGAACGAGAGCAGTGACTCTGCGTCAGCCCGCTGGGAAGAGTGGGGCACTGAACGAGCCATCCCAGAGGCCCTGGACAGACGCCGGGTCATGGACTCTCAGGCCTGGGTTCAAATCCAGGGCCAGCCATTAACTAGCGGGCCTGCACAAGGTACCAGGTAATCCCTCTGGACCCCCATTTCCTCATCTAAAAATGAGGATAATAATCCTGCACGGGTTGTTGGGAGAGCTCAGTAACAACATCAACAGCTTGGCTTCTGGGAGGGCTCGGCAACGGTGAGCTATTATGAATGCAGAGGGACCACGCTCTGCCGGTCATGGGGTCCCTGAGGCCCAGGGGTGCTCAGCCCCGGAATCATCGTGGGGGCTTTGAAAAAACACTGATGCCCTGCCCCAGTAGTGAGCTGGTAAATACTGAGGCACTGGCTCTCTGGGACCTTATCTGTTGTGTTTACCGACTTCCATTTTGGCAGATTTCGAGCTACCGAGGTGAAATCACTGAAGATGGAGGTGGGAGACTGGCACATGGCGGGGGGGCTCTGGCACCCCACTGTGCTCGTCCCTCCCTGAGCCAACTGACTCAGTATCTCTGGAGAGGGGGCCCAGAAACCCATACTTCTTAAAGCACCCCAGATATTTCTAACAGCCATCAGGGTTTCCAAACACAGCCTTAGACTAAAAGCAGAAAAAGCAGTGAATGGCAAGGTTGGGGGATGAGGATTTTTAAAATGACTTCTGGATAAAATAAGGCAAAGGCCTCAAATTTTCTCCTTTATACCGGCAATGAGACCAGACTGGGAGATTATGCCCATTTCATTGAAAATAAATTTTGAAATGGACATAAGCCCAAAAAGAGTGTTTCTGGGTGTGGGCCTGTGATTCCCAAGGATCATGTATCCTCTGATCCAAAATGGAACAGGGATGAAGCTGGGAGTCGTCAAGAGCTGGAAAGATGCAGAATGGCCAAGTTCAGGCAAGTGTGCGGCATCTGCAGATACCTTTCTTCTCCTGGGAGGCACAGCCCCATCTCTGCTTCCTGCCTGGGGGAGGGGGGTGACCAGAGACACAGGGAAAATAGAGGAGAAACATGCCCAGCTTCAACTCCAGCTTCAGCTTCCTAAGCCCCAGAGGCTCTCAGGCTGGATCAGGGCTGCCCAGCCGCAGGCAGGGCACGAACGCCTTTGAGGAAAAAGGTTCCCAACACTGGCAGCCCAAAGGCCCTTCCTATAGGCCTTCGTTTAAAAAACAAACAAACAAAAAAAAAACTGTTCTAAACCTTAATAATATTTCCACAAAATACTAAGATGAGGGCAGGGGTGTTGATGAATTATCCACTCATCAGGCTGTTCCCTGCTGGGCAGAGGGGGCAGGTGAAGTCCTCAAGACCGGGGAACTCTGGCTCGGCGCAGGAGTGACCCTGCCTCTGGAGAGATCTCAGGAAGGTGTCCTCTGAACTTCAGCTGCTGGAATCTTGGGCCACACGTGGAGAGCTGGCCACAGGAATGACCTCTCCAGAAACCGTCCTGTGGCCCCTGTAGACTGCACCTGTCCTCCTCACTTGCTCTGTCCTTGACCCCCACCCAGAGCACTTGCCTTCTGACCCAGTCTCTGGGAAAGGCTGAGCTGGGGGACAAAGAATGCTGATGGGGGCATCACCCGGCCCCCACTCTGACTTATGCAGAAGGCAGGTAGGGGAGGGGTCTTTGTGGCAGCCTCTAGGAAGTGAACCTCAGGAGGGGACCTCAGAGTGAGGGAGCAGAGCAAAGAGCCTTGCCCCGGTCACTGTGGAAACGCCCGGGGCCAGGCCTCTATCATCCTTCTAGCTCACTCAACCTTCAGGTCACCCTAGGAGGTGAGCCCAATGCCACGTTGGTAGGGGATGCACCTAAGACCCAAGAGGTGCTGAGTGCCCTGCCCAGGGCCAAAGAGCTGGGCCTCAGACCCAGGCGCCACCAAATCTTAGCCACGCATCTCAGTGCCTGAGCCAACAGCTCTGCAAGAGCAGTTCTTATGCTTGTCATCAGAACTTTCTCGTTGTGCGACAGCATGCATATGGTGTGCACACAAACTGCTTGTGTGAGCTTCTGCACCTCATCACAGTGGACCTCCCCATGGGGCCTCCTCCCAGATCAAGAAATAGAATGTTGCCAACATCCCTTTCCTCTCCCCCAACTTCTCAAGTCTCAGGCTGGTTTAGCTCGTTTCAGAATATGATAAACAGGAAATAATACGGTACATGTTCTTTTGTATGTGGCTTCTTTAATTCAACAGTGTTTGTGTGGTTCATCGACGTGCTTGTGGATGTTCTTCCATCATTGGTGCTGTATAATATTCCATGCTTGGATTTCACCATGATTCACATATCCATTCTGCAGTTCATGGGCATTCGGGTCATTTGCAATCTGGGGCTCTCGGAGCAGTGCATTCTGGTACCCGTGTTCCCGTATCTTTGTGAATGTGGGGAGGCATGCGCAGAAGTGGAATTGTGTGTGTTCACCTTTAGTCCTATTGCCGAGCTGTTCTCCCCAAGTATTGCCCTGGGAGCTTTTTCAGAGTGTGCCAGGAGGGACAGTGGAGAAACACAAGTCTGTCCTATTAAGGAGATGGGCACAGTCTGGGGCCCCTCAAGGGCTTTTCTGCAGGGGACTGGCTGAGGGTGGTAAGGCAGCCACCCCTGGAGAGTGGCTGGCCGCCCACCCCAGCGAGCAGTCCATGCATGCACCCGTGCAGCCCCCACCTGGGCCCCCTCACTGAGGGAGCTCCCAGTGAACACGCCCGAGCTGTACCCCAGCCCTGCCACCCCACTCGACCTGAGGTCACTGAAGACCATCTCATAACTAAATGGAAAGTTTGTTTAATGGCCATGATCTTGCCCGACTTCCAGGTAATAGCACGCAGCACTTGGTTGCTCCTGCCTTCGAACACCTTGTCTTCCTGTGGCTCCTCTCACTGTGACCTGCTAGCTTTTTCCCCAACTCTCTGGCCACTCCTTGAAACATCCTCTTAGACAGACAGTCCCCTGTGGAAGAACAGTGGAGCATTCCACAGGCCACCCCCCTTCCCCGCATGCTGATAGATAGACACAAATACAGTCTCCGTTTCCAACCATCTGGCTCTGTCCTCTCCCAGAGAATGGGGGTGCAGAACCCCCTGCTTACAACGAAGAAGGCTAAAGAACCCAGAAGTACAAAAAGGCATGTTCATGGAGCACTTGCTCTGGGTTGGGTCCTGCTCTGAGCACTCTCAGTCATCATCTGATGGAACCCGTGAGGTGGGGTTAATCCCCATCTCACAGATGAGGAACCTGAGGCTCGGGGAAGCAGGTGACTTGCCCAAGGTCACAAGTTCAGTGAGTGGCTGGGCTCCAAAGCTCATACTCTTGACCTTTACACTTTCTGGAGCCAGGTGCGTTCAGCCTGAATCTGTGTCCCTATCAGCTGTGCGGTCTTGACCGAGTTACTTAACCTCTACATGCCTCCCCTCGTCCCAGGATAATGATAATGGCCCTTTCTGTGTACAGAGTCGGCACTTACAGCAATGTAAGTTCACGTCTGCCGTTGTCACGGGGCCTCTCAAACAATGAGGCAGGAGAATGCCAATCAGTACGGAAGAAGCCTTATGCACAGGTAGGCCATAAGTTTGGCCATGACAACTGTATTTGAAAAATATCACAGTCAGACCAAACACTAAAGAAATGTTTGAAGGAGCACGACATTAACACAGGTGCAACCACTAAAGTCACACCCAGTGAAGAAAGAAAACCCTGATACATAATCACAAAAATAAATCTGTTGCAGCAGGTGTATATATAACATCTTAAATGAGTAAGATAAAATGTATCTTAACTGTTAGTTAAGATACCAGGGTTATAACGTTTCTTTTGTTAAAAAGATATATGCAGAGTGTCCAGCTAAATTTCTAGCAAACATTTGCAGGCTCTCTGGGACAGCTTTCTGTATGCATCACCTTCATTAATTATTTTAAGACAATGAGCAGTATGAACCATGTCGACCTTCTTCTCTTCCTGAAACCACATCACCGTGGGTTCTAAAAATAATTCTGTAATTTACCGAAGTCAGATAATCATTTTTTAAAAAGAGCAGTTCATAATTCACAGTCCAAACCAAATTCCAAATCTCATCTCTCTGAGGCTTCCATTTTATACAGAAGCCGCTCCACGGCATGGAATCCACACCGTTTCAAGCTCAGGGGTCCAGGTGGTTCAACTGTCACCACTAAAGCAGATAGAAGCATGAACTTTTAGGGAGAAAATACAGCCTTATGCTTCTTTCTTACATTACCATATCTGATTACCCAAGACTTGGGTTTTTAAATAACTGTCTAGAGTTGGTATCTTCCTTTGTCCATAAAGAGAAGCTTTCTAATGGGCGCCTGGGTGGCTCAGTTGGTTAAGCGACTGCCTTCGGCTCAGGTCATGATCCTGGAGTCCCGGGATCGAGTCCCGCATCGGGCTCCCTACTCAGCAAGGGAGTCTGCTTCTCCCTCTGACCCTCTTCCCTCTCGTGCTTTCTATCTCTCATTCTCTCTCTCTCTCAAATAAATAAATAAAATCTTTAAAAAAAAAAAAAAGAGAGAAGCTTTCTAAAGGCAACCTAGACCCTAGGAATCCAGCTTTTTCTGCACCGCCCTTAACATTCCAGCACCCCACCGGCTAAGAGAGCTCACAGGCATTAACGAAGACTTTCATCTTCAAAAGATTAAAAGGGCCCAAATCCCCGAGACCAAAAGATAAGTCCAAAGAAAATGGATTCCGGAAAACACCATCCTGACAGCAACCAGCCCCGTGACTGTCCCCAAAGCCAATTC